CCTTACGGTAGAGGGTGGGTAAGAAATTGAAAATAATGATAATGATGATGATGAAATAACAACAACAACAACAACAACAACAACAACAACAATTCCACTGAGCTATGTTCCCAGATATTGCTATACAACTCCCAGCATTGAATAAGCGGCTTTGTTTGAAGGAGGTGGACAAAACTCTTGGTTGGATGGAGCTGATAGGAGTCTGGAAGGCCAAAGGTTGCCCAGTTCTCTGATAATGCTGAATTAGATGGACCTTGGTGTAATTGAGAGCAAAGCAATTCTTCCATTATGTCTTCTGGCTTGCCTTGTTTGGAGTAAGAGTGGAAACCTGCAGACAAAGAATCATTATCATCTTTATGAAGCACTGCAGTGCATTCGATCAGAAGCCTCTTCAATTTCAAGTGGTAATCAGAATGTGTCTTTCTCTCTCTTTTCTGCTCTCGGGTTTTGTCATGACAGAATGACATGAGAATGTAATGCCGAAAATGGAAAATTAATAATTTACATTAACATGCATGCGCACAATATTAAAGGTGACATGAATGCTTTAGAACACATGGTTGGCAATGTTCTCCTTTACTGGCAGTGGTAGGGAGGAGACATCTGTGCGCATCATTCCTTGTTTAGTCGTTTAGTTGTGTCTGACTCTCTGTGACCCCATGGACCATAGCATGCCAGGCACTTCTGTCTTCCACTGCCTCCCGCAGTTTGATCAAACTCATGTTAGTAGCTTCGAGAACACTGTCCAACCATCTCGTCCTCTGTTGTCCCCTTCTCCTTGTGCCCTCAATCTTTCCCAACATCAGGGTCTTTTCCAGGGAGTCTTCTCTTCTCATGAGGTGGCCAAAGTATTGGAGCCTCAGCTTCAGGATCTGTCCTTCCAGGGAGCACTCAGGGCTAATTTCCTTGAGAATGGATCGGTTTGATCTTCTTGCAGTCCATGGGACTCTCAAGAGTCTCCTCCAGCACCATAATTCAAAAGCATCAATTCTTCGGCAATCAGCCTTCTTTATGGTCCAGCTTTCACTTCCATACATCACTGCTGGGAGAACAATAGCTTTAACTATATGGACCTTTGTCGGCAAGGTTATGTCTCTGCTTTTTAAGATGATGTCTAGGTTTGTCACCACTTTTCTCCCAAGAAGCAGGCGTCTTTTAATTTCGTGACTGCTGTCACCATCTGCAGTGATCATGGAGCCCAAGCTCCTTCATAGATCACTGCCTTGTTGTGGCGAAGGGACTTGAATAACTCAGAGAAGCTATGAGCTATGCCATGCAGGGCCACCCAAGACGGACAGGTCATAGTGGAGAGTTTTGACTAAAGGTGATCCACCTGGAGCAGGAACCGGCAAGCCACTCCAGTATCCCTGCCAAGAAAACTCCATGGACAAAAACAACATCATTCCTAGGTGTGTGTTTTTAAAGACTATAGTCTAACAGGGGGTCAAAGCAAAAAATTCAATAAAATATCTGAAAATAAAGTGATATGAAAAAACTCAAATGTTTTTTGAGAGCAGCATCCAGCTTCTAATCCAGAGGAGGGAAACCTCTAGCCTGTGGCCTACCAGGGAGTCCAAGTTGGTCTGTGAGGCCATTTCCCCTGAAACCATGCCCACCTGGCCATCAGCTGATGTCATTGGGTGATGTCAGCTGATGGGCAGGCAGTCGAAGGTCAGTCCATCTGGGTGCTGCTTTCCCAGTTCCCCTGCAGGGAAGGAGCAGCTGAAGCAGAACTCTACTCCTTTGCCCAGGGGCAACTTTGACAGGTGGGTAGGACTACCCACCTATCACTCACCCAATATCATCATGCTGTGAATGATTTACAGAGTATGCTTAGTAAAGGTAAAGGGATCCCTGACCATTAGGTCCAGTCGTGGCCAACTCTGGGGTTGCGGCGCTCATCTCTCTTTATTGGCCGAGGGAGCCGGCATACAGCTTCTGGGTCATGTGGCCAGCATGACTAAGCCGCTTCTGGCAAACCAGAGCAGCGCATGGAAATGCCATTTACCTTCCCACCAGAGCGGTACCTATTTACCTACTTGCACTTTGACGTGCTTTCAAACTGCTAGGTTGGCAGGAGCAGGGACCGAGCAACAGGAGCTCACCCCGTCACGGGAATTCGAACCACCGACCTTCTGATCGGCAAGTCCTAGGCTCTGTGGTTTAACCCACAGCACCACCCGCCTCCCATGCTTAGTAGTGTCCTTCTATAAAATCATTATTGGAGCCAAGATCTTGGCTGCATGTCTATTGTCTCTGTATGAATGGTAAGCCTGCCGTGTTGAGTTTGGGGTTTTGCAGTTGTCTAGTTCTGCATGGGGACATGAATCAAAAGCCAGTTTAAGAGCACAGGTGCATCTATTCCAACATTTTGTTCTCACTGCGGCCGGCCAGATGCCCGTGGGAAGCCTGCAAGCAACACTCTCCTCAACTCTGTTTCCTAGCAATTGGTATTCAGAGCCATATGCTCTGTGGAGGGAGAATATCTTGGCCATTGATGTCTTTATCCTGCATGAATTTGTAGTATCTACTTTTAAGGCCATCCAAGTTGGTGGCCATCACTACCTTTTGTGGAAACAAATTCCATACTTTGTACAATATGAAAGATAGTTGTGCTGTGGAAGGAGCATAGGTCAAAAAGTAATATGTGACTCATTTTTTTAAAAACCAAACCTACCCATATGCTCTTATGGTTGCTTGTTTATGAAGGAGTATTGACCCCAGTGCTGCAGAGCTATTTCAGGGATCTAAAAAATGGAGTTCAATTTTTTAAAAGCCAGGATGAAGATACATCTATTTTCACCCCCCCAAAGTGAAAATCAATAGCTGACCGTCAGCTCATTCTTATATCAATCATTTCTTATGGTCTGGTGAAAACTTAGGTCAACTTGCAGCCATCGCAAGAATAGCCTCAATGAACATTTTTCAGCACACCTTTCCTTAAGTGCGTATTATTTAAATATCCTAAGAATCTTCAGGTTCTCCAACCCTACATACAGATTCAGAAGTGTCTTCCAAAAAATAGCTGTTGCAGTGGCACTGTGGCAGTGTTGAAAGAAAACTGCACATATTTTTCTTTCAACATGTATTTCAAGGTATTGTGGGGTTTGAAGCCAAAGCAGAGATGTCAATCTACACCCCATCATTCATTATACCACAAAGCTCTAGAGATAGGAAGCAGTGGGTCAAAGTCAGGTGATCTTACACTACTTCCTGTTTGGTTCCCATAGCATGGGGAACCTGTGGCCCTTCTGATGTTGCTGAACATCCATTGCTTGGTCATGCAGACTAGGGTTGATGGGAGTTGAAGTCCAAAAACATCTGAATTGCCACAAGTTTCCCCTCCCTGCTTTACGAAAAACAAGAGCCAATCTACCTGTGATAATAAAGTAATTGCACCATTTTAAGCTGCAGAAGAGTGTTCATATTTTGGAATAATCTTCTGCCCTTGTGTTCTGCATGTGAACCTCCAAGTCTCATTTGGTTGGCTTCAAATGGAATGGTGAACTAGATCAGTTTTCTTTGACCTCAGGCTCCTGGATGTTGTTGGTGTACAACTGTGATCATCCCTAACTATGCTGGCTATGCTGGCTGGGAATGATTGGATTTGTCTTCCATGACACCTGAGGACCCAAGGTTGAAAACCACTGATCTTAGATAGACCTTGGCAGGAAACAGAGTCAGCCCTAGTTATAGCTGCCATGGCTCAGCTAGGAGCCTTTGGGCTTGTGTGTGGCTGCCCCATGTGGTAGGCCAATGAATTGCACGTTGCTGCATCTGGCTAGGCCCCTGGAAAGACTTTGCCTGCCCAGCCTGGCCATTAACAACATAAGAAAAGCCCTGCTGAATCAGGCCAATGGTTCAGCAGCCTCTCCTCACAGTGGCCAACCAGATGCCTCTGGAAAGCACACATGCAGCACCTGAGCACAACAGCACTCACCCTCCTTTGGTTTCCAGTAACTGCTATTCAGAAACAAACTGCCTCTGACAGTGGAGGTAGAACATAGCCTTTAAGGTTCATAACTATTAATAGCCTTATCCTACATGGGCAGGAAATAGTATAAGAAGACTCCCTGTTCTGGTTAAGCCTTGCTTGAGCAGCAAAGTCTTCCTGAGCTCTGGTGTGGTCCTGCATCTTTTGGACATTCTTCAATTCTATCTTGCTGTGAACAGCTTTCCTTGAATGAGTACAAGTCAGTACTGGGAGCTCTCCAAGGTACTGATTTGCCTTGCCTAGGATCTGGCAATGTTGTCTCCGGCTGGATGATTAAACACGCTTTGCCTTGCAGCTTTTCAACCTGGCCTCCTCTGGCAGAAGACAAGATGCTCCTTGACCCTGCTTTTTAGTTTGTCTTTCAGTCCTGAGTACTAGCATAGCCTGTTGCTCCTGGGTCACGAGAGACTGTTGATCATAGCTTAGCTATGATGCCCTCCTCCAATTTTTGATCTAAATCATAAACAGCTAAGTACTGTATATACATTACACTGCAACCCCACCCCACCCCCAGAAAAATCCATTCTGAGAAGGGAGATTCAATTCGCTCAAAAGGAGACCCATTCTTCACATATGAAGCACCACTCTATCCAACTGTGTATATTCCAATGGTGGAAGACAGATGACTTGGCCATCAAAAAGCATTCATGCAGCCAGAGTTGTTGGGAGTTCAGTAAGTGCTCAAGCAGCCAGAAAACATCCCAACATTATTAAATGCAGGCCAAAATTCTTATCCAGAGGCCTTCTGCCCAAACAGCTGTGTTTGAAAGCACTTCCATGGTAGATTTGCCAAAGAATTGGTATGAGAGCCACTGCCAGCAAGTATCACATTAGTATAAACATGGTATGATGGGTCATACTGGATTCCAGCATCTACTGTAGAATATTTCTTTGGCTGAATCAAATGTCCAGGAACTCTTGTTGCTTCCTGACTCACAAAGTTGGATTGGGAAAACAGGAAACAGAAACTGTTCACCTTCTCATGTTGCCTTGGCGAGGTGTGACTGGAAAAAGGCTATTGCTCAGTGGAACAGCCTCTGCTTTACATGCAGAAGGTTGCAGGTTCAATCCCAGCAGCTCCATGTAGGACTGGGAAAGACTTTTATCTTAAACCCTGGAGAGCTGCTCCCACTCAGTGTAGATAATATTGAGCCAGATGAATCAATAGGTTGACTTGGTAGAAGGCAGATTCCTTTTTGCCATCCATCCTGACCAGTAGCAACTCCTGTCTGTCTGTACCTGAGTCGTCCGATGCCCAAGTCCCTCCAAATATATCTGATTTGGTTTAGGACTTGACCAAATGTGGTGCACAGCCCTTATATATAGGGATCTGAACCAGGATCACCCCAGTTCATACTCAGCACTCCATTCATGACATCACCCTTCCTATGAAAAAGTAGATTGTCAGTGGCATGTAGTCCAGGGCCTTTCCTCTTTTGCTTTATGCAATATTTTCTTTCTTTCTTTGTAGGACTAATGGAGGACAACAGGAGGTTGCATGCAGGTGAGCTGTGCAGAAGCACACTGGCAAGCATGCTCCAAGCAAGCTGCCGACTAGCTCTGCAGAGGCTCCTTTTATTAGCAGAAGTCAACAACTGGAAACAGTAGTGAAACCACTCTGAACATGACATATTTCCATCTAAGCACATTTCTAGCGTTAGCAAATACACGTGTCAGCAGGTGTTTCCCTAAAATGTTTTCCCCAATACTTGATTACATCTGCGTCCCAGGTCATGCTCCAGCCAAACGTTATGTCTAGTAACCAAATCTGTAAGAGGACAAACGGTAAGGGGAATACCCTGTTTGCTAGCCAAGAAGGCAAAAGGTCAGGGAGCATGGACGCAATGCTCCTTGGCACACTGTTGCATGCCTGGTGCGAGGTTTGCCTCAGCACAGGCGGAGCGTCACCTCCACATTTCTTTCTACATGGAAGCATTCAATCATGTCATGCCCCCAAAGCATTCTACAAGTGATGCAGTCTGAATAGGGGCTGTGATTCTTCTGAAAATAGAATTCATTCCTCTGCCTCATGGCCTATCAGTGCTATACACTACTGCTTCTTATAATAATAATAACAACCCCCCACCAAACAACTATCTGAGTTAAAGTTATCTGATGTCTGTATGAAGCAAGCACCAGAGGGTCCTTTGGCAGTGCAGGAAAAAGGGCGCATGTTCCTAGTGAACCCAGCATGTTTCGTTTAATTCTACAGCCTCGTGGAATTTCAAGAGGGAATATGGACTTTGCTGATTAGCAAGTCGGCATCTCTCACTCTCTGCTACAAAGCGAAAGCGAGGCTTCCCTGAGAAGGCAGATATCTCTCTCTCTCTTTTTTTTTAAAGAAACTTTCCTTACGAAGCATAACAATTTACAGCACATATACCAGTTGCAAACTCTATTCCCCTGAGTCCCTCGAAGAGAAGATTAGTAATGGCTGACAAGCTGCCTTGATTGAAAGAGTTTGCCCATACTATCAATCTTGAGTGCAGTTGCAAGAGAGGGTTGGGTGTGATCATGTTTGCACTCTCCGTTGGCAGGGAGAGAACAGTGAAGGCCAACTGGATCAGACAGTGTCACACATGAACCCAAGCTCAATCTAGGCATGCAACAGAGCGCTGTGGGAACGAGGTACAATGCTGAGATGGTACTGTACCAATTCATGCTGCAGGTGGGACATCACATAGTTGAATGCTCCTCTCCTTATTTTCAGTACACGTGATAAGAAAACTAGAACATTAAGGTACAGCTTGGGAAAGAATCTTTCTTCCTGATATGTTATTCTTTTTTTCTTGCAGGGAGCTGTGAAGCTCACTGAGTGATCTATTAGGGTTATTGTTGCTGTGGGGAGATGGCAGGGGGAGAGAACCCATGTACACCACATTTCAGCTCCTTGGAAGAAATGTGGACTATAAATGTAACATATAAACTAACGAACAATAAGAAACCATCACATGGACAGATAGGTATCAGATGAGCCACTTCTTCGGTATTTGAACATCTCAGAATTTGCCTCAGAATCAAATTCTGTTTCCTCATTCATCCCTGGCCCTAGAATTTGCCTCAGAATCCTTTGTGATGCACTGCTGTCAACAGATGAGTTGTTTCCTAAGGAAAAGACCCCTGAAGAAAGGAAGTTTCAAAACCAAAGTACTGTACAAATGAAGTTGCTCTCGGTTCGGAAACAAGCGTCATCCTCATGTGGGCCAGCCAGTTCTCCCTCAGACACAGCAATTTCAGAAAGGGGAAAATTTTAAAGATTCATTTTAGACTGCAAAGCCTAGCCGCTTCATCATTTTGACTGCAGAGTTCTGGAACTGTGAATACCTGAGTGAGTGTTAGCAGTATAGTGAGAAAACTATTATGCTTTCCATTGAGTTAATGCAATTTGGGTGTCAGAGCAAGTCTAGGTGTCTTTTTCTTCCCTTTAGACAAAAAGATGTTGGGGCAGGGAGGGGTACATAACCTGCTTCACCGAGAATGAACGTACCAATTAAACTCTACGGGAACCTTATTGAGCATGCCATTTGTAAAATCCAGCTCTTTGGAGGGAAAGGCTGGGGAGGTCAATGAGCAACTCAAAATCTACGGCCCACTGACCCCAACTTCATTTGTCACCTCTTTAATGAGCAACAGAGATGCTCTCATATGTGCAGTCAGCAGAACAAAAAGTCTACAGTATTCTAAACCCGCTGCCTTGTACTCACCATGGCTGGGGAATTCTAAGAAACTCAACAAAATCAATGCAGTTTTGAAATCAGTGGTTAAAATCAGCGAAGTTTTGAAAGGTTCGGTCTGCCATCTTGATTTGAAATGGCATCCAATTGTATCCAAGCATAGACAAAAACCTTGAACTCAGGAACCTTGATGCAGAATTTGGATACACTATCATACAAGGTGTACAAATGCATAGGGAATGAACAGACAACTTTCCAAAATATGTAGTTGGAGATGATGGGTTTTTGTAATAAAGGAACCCCATGTGACATTTGTTGCCTAGTTATCCCTTGAGTGTAAGTATTTGGGAAGAGCAGTATGGATTGGGGACTTGGCCAAAGAGTTTAAAAAATAAAAATAAGTAGGAGAATGAACTTGAAGATGAACTAGGAGTCATTCAAAGTTCTACCCCCAAATGAACTTAATTGACATTCAGCTCACCCAGCAAACACCTTTGAGGTGTAGTTTAGAGATTTTCGAACTAGTTCAATGAGCTTCTTTGAAAAGAACTTGCTCCTTCCAAGCTCTGTATGTGTTTAATCTCGACATAGTGCCCGATTCCATTTCTTGCTCTTCTCAAATCAAGTGTGATTTCTATTAGCCTAAATACATATCAGGCTGTGGTCGGGAATTCAGTCTCAAAGAAGTCTCAGAGCCATGCGCCCTTGGAACTGATCGTATTTATTCAATATTCAAGTCAGGACAGCTTCCGGCTCAAACTTATCTCCTCAGTCAACAAAGAAAGCAAATGTAGACGGTTACAGGTAATAATTTTCTGCCGCGCCTTATTGAAATTCATACGGAGCAGCTATTTACTCAGGATTCTGCAGATAAATATGGGAATGAGACTCACGGCTTGGATACGATGGTCCAGGCAGACTCTCTGTTGCAACTAATTCACCCGCATGTCAACTGAAGTGATTGTGTCCAAAGTGAAGGCAATGGCTGGATTCCCATCACTCACTTGGCAAGGAGACCTTTGTTCATTGTGGCTGCTGCCTGGGTTGCTCTTAAAGTTGTATTAGCGGCGGGTTGTGGGTGTGTGTGGAAATGTTTTGCTGTGTATAGAAAATCATAGCATGGCAAGAAAATAAGGAAACTGGAAATGACTCCTGTTTCCTCCTTGCACCTCAACAGGACACCTGAACAGAGGCTGGTCCATTATGTCAAATGGGGCACTGTCCTTTGCTTGTCTCTACCTGCCTGCCTTACTTCCAGCTAGACCAGGGAGTAGCACTGGCTGTTAGTCTCTTCCTTCTTAGTCTCCGTGTCACCTTTATGTGCTTCATCCGGGGGAGGATAGGGAACAAACGATAACCAGGCAAAGGGCCTTCTCGGTGGTGGCACCCTCCCTGTGGAATGCCTTCCCATCAGATGTCAAGGAGATAAAGAACTACACAACTTTTAGAAGGCATCTGAAGGCAGCCCTGTATTGGGAAGTTTATATATATATATATATATCAGATGTTTTATTCTGTTTTAACATGTGTTGGAAGCCTCCCAGAGTGTCTGGGACAACCCAGCCAGATGGGTGGGGTATAAATCATAAAATTATTATTATCGACTAGTTATCTTAGTATTTATTTAGTTCATAAAATTTAGACACTGCTTGCTTGTGAAACGAAGGGGGAGAAAGCCTCAAAGCAGTTTACCAAAAAAGATGAAACAACAAAATTACCACTTAGAAAAAATGAACAGCAATAATTTAAAACTTTCCAAAAGTTAAAGCAGCAGCTGATTAAAAACAGATTAAAACTCATACTACCTTTCTGAACATCCAAGTCAGACTTTTCTAAACAAAAATGTTTTTGGCAGGTGTACAGTGGTACCTCGGGTTAAGTACTTAATTCATTCCGGAGGTCCTTTCTTAACCTGAAACTGTTCTTAACCTGAAGCACCACTTTAGCTGCTGCCGCTGCGCCACTGGAGCATGATTTCTGTTCTCATCCTGAAGCAAAGTTTTTAACCTGAAGCGCTATTTCTGGGTTAGCAGAGTCTGTAACCTGAAGCGTATGTAACCTGAAGCGTATGTAACCCGAGGTACCACTGTACAGTGAAGGTGTCTGCTGATATCGATAGGCAGGGAGTTCCAAAGTGCCATACTTAAACGGACTGAATTCTTACAAATGCAGAAGAGGTATCACGTGGCACATGTAATAGTGCCAATTCCACTGATTGAAGCAGGCAAGTGGGTGCATATATAGGGTAAGCCGACCTCATAGTTGTTGTTATTTGGCCTTCCCTTTTATTGGCTCTGGCCCCACCTACCTTTGGCTTCTCTGACTTCCATCCTAGCAGTCCCAGTGGGCACCACTGCAGAACACCTAAGGGCTGCCAGAGCAGACTTGGGCAACTTTTGGCTCACCAA